AACAGGCTGGCTTGCTGCTACCAAATAGGTCATTTAGTTTTGCCGCCTTTGTACTTTGCCCCTTCTGTTCCACATACCTGGGATGCCTTTCCCATTCCTATTTGCCTATCCAGATCATTCCTCTTCTCTTTTGAAGACTCTGCTCAGATGCTAACTCCACTTTTCCTCAGGTGCCCAGTTTGAATTACTACTCTTTCCTCTCAGTTGTTATTGATTATTATCTGTGTCATAAATAAGCACCCAATCATGTGTTACCCTGTGACATTACTTGCATTGCTGTCTTAAGTGTTTTAGAGCACTGGGTTTTGTCTCCCTTTACATCTTCATCCATTATCTCCCCTAACAATCATATGGTTGTTGAAAGTCTGTGGGTGCTCCATAAAATGAATAGTTAGACTTAGTCATCATTTTTAAGAGTTAAACATGGGTGACAAGACCTATGAATATACATAGAAAACACCTTAGGAATCTACAAAAAAGCTACTAAAAGTAGTAACTAATATAGCAAAGTTATAGAAGACAAGATAGATGTACAAAAATCAATTGTATTTCTATATGCAATGGCAATGAACAATTGGAAATAGAATTTAAAACAGTGTCATGGTCAAGCACAGTAGCTCATATGTGTAATTCCAACATACTGGGAGGCCAAGGTGGATGGATCACTAGAGCCCAGCAGTTCAAGACCAGCCTGGACAACATGGCAAAACCCTGTCTCTACAAAAAAATGCAAGAAGTAGCTGGGTACGGTGGTTTGCATCTGCAGTCCCAGCTACTTGGGAGGCTGAGGTGGGAGGATCACTTGAGCCTTGGAGGTCAGTCAAGGCTGTAGTGAGCTATGATCGAGCCACTGTACTCCACACTGAGTGACAGAGCAAGACCCTGTCTTAAAAATAAATAAAACACAATTTCATTTATAATAGCATAAAACTTAAGTAGAAATAAAGTTAATGGACCGGGTGCAGTGGCTCATGCCGGTAATCCCAGCACTTTGGGAAGCTGAAGTGGGCAGATCACTTGAGGTCAGGAGTTTGAGACTAGCCTGGCCAACATAGTGAAACCCTGTCTTAACTAAAAAATACAAAAAAATAGCCAGATGTGGTAGTGCATACCTGTAATTCCAGCTGTATGGGAGGCTGAGGCAGGAGAATCGCTTGAACCTGGGAGACGGAGGTTGCAGTAAGCGGAGATCATGCCACTGCACTCCAGCTAAGGTGACAGAGCAAGACTTAGTATCAGCAAAAGAAAAAAGAAATAAAATTAATGAAAGAATCGTAAGAAATACGCTGAAAACTTTAAAACATTGCTGAAATAAATTAAGGCAGCTGGGCACGGTGGTTCATGCTTGTAATCCCAGTACCCTGGGAGGTCAAGACAGGCAGATTACTTGAGGCCAGGAGTTAGAGACTAACCTGGCCAAAATGGCAAAACCCCATCTCTACTAAAAATACAAAAATTACCTGGGTATGGTGGTGCACACCTGTAGTCCCAGCAGAGGCATGAGGGTCACTTGAACCTGGGAGGCAGAGGTTGTAGTGAGCTAACATTACGCCACCGCACTCCAACGTGGGTTCTAGAGAAAGACACTATCTCAAAAACAAAAAACAAAAAACAAAAAAACCTAAAATAATGGAGAAATTGCTTTGTTTATGGATTGGAAGACTTAGTATTGTAAGATGTCAGTTCTCCCCAAACTGATTCAACACAATCCCAATCAGAATCTCAGCAGGCTTTTTGTAAAATTTGACAAGCTGATTGTATAATGTACATGGAAAACAAAAGTATAGAATAGCAAAACAATTTTGAAAAAGAAGAACAAAGTTGAAGAACTCACTATCTGACTTTAGAACTTACTAGAACTCTACTACAGTCAAGACAGTTTGCCTGCTGGCAAACAGGTAGGCAGATAGATAATGTTAACAGAATAAAGTCCAGAAATAAATACATGGTCAGCTGATTTTCAATAAAGGGGTCAAAGTAATTCATAGGCGAAAGAATGTCATCCCAGCTAATGATGCTGGGACAGTCAGACATTCATATGTAAAAAAGCAAACCTTGGTCAGGGTCAGTGGCTCACACCTGTAATCCTAGCAGTTTGGGAGGCCAAGGCAGGTTTATCACCTGAAGTCAGGAGTTCGAGACCATACTGGCCAAAATGGTGAAACCCCGTTTCTACTAAAAATAGAAAAAAAATTAGCCAGGCACAGTAGCACATGCTTGTAGTCCCAGCTCAGGAGGCTGAGGTAGGAGAATTGCTTGAACCTAGGAGGTAGAGGTTGCAGTGAGCCAAGATCATGCTGTTGCACTCCAGCCTGGGCAGCAAGAGCGCAACTCCATCTCAAAACAAAACAAAAAAAAAGCAAACCTTGATTCATATCATACCATATAAAAATTTAACTTGAAATGACTCGAGACCTAAATATGAAGCCTAAAACTAGAAAACTTTTAAAAGAAAACATAGGAAAAAATATCTGGGACCTGGGATTAGGCAAAACTTTCTTAACTAGGACATAAAAAATTGGCCTTGGGCCGGGTGCGGTGGCTCAAGCCTGTAATCCCAGCACTTTGGGAGGCCGAGGTGGGTGGATCACGAGGTCAAGAGATCAAGACCATCCTGGTCAACATTGTGAAACCCTGTCTCTACTAAAAATACAAAAAAATTAGCTGGGCATGGTGGCACGTGCCTGTAATCCCAGCTGCTCAGGAGGCTGAGGCAGGAGATTTGCCTGAACCCAGGAGGCGGAGGTTGTGGTGAGCCGAGATCGCGCCATTGCACTCCAGCCTGGGTAACAAGAGCGAAACTCTGTCTCAAAAAAAAAAAAAAAAATTGGCCTGGCATGGTGGCTCACATCTGTAATCCCAGCGCTTTAGGAGGCCAAGACAGGAGGATTGCTTGAGTTCAGAAGTTTGGGACCAGCCTGGGCAACATAAGGAAACCCCATCTCTACAAAAAATTTAGAAATTAGCTGGATGTGGTGGCACATGCCTGTGGGCCCAGCTACTCAGGAAGCTAAAGCTGGAGGATTGCTTAAGCCCAGGAGATTGAGCCTGCAGTGAACCATGATTGTGCCGCTGCACTCCAGCTTGTGCAACAGAGTGAGACCCTGTCTCAAAAACAAAACCAAAATTAAAGAGTGCCACATTGCAAATAATGCAGTATTATTCGGCAGTAAGAAAAGAAGCAACTACTGATACACACTAGAACATGGATGAATCTCAAGAGCGGTGTATTGAGTGAAGACTCAAGACCATCTGATTCTATTTATATGGTATTACAGAGAGACAAAACCATAGATCAGTGGCTACTTGGGGTAGGTATAAAGGGTTGACTACAGAGGAGCCAAGGAGAACTTTTTGGGTTAATGGAAATGCTTTACATCTTCCTGTGGGGGTTATACAATTGTACATTTGCCAAAACTTACCTAACTGTACACTTGCGTGGGTTTTATTGTATGCAACTATACCTAACTTTATTTGGGTGGTGGGCGAGGGGGGAGTCTGGAAGATACTGATGTCTAAGATTGAGTTAGGTCAGAAAGATGAGTAGAAGGAATTCTATTTTGTGTTGCCTGGTTAGTGCTTTTCCCCTTATTGTGGTTCTTTACCAAATATCCCCAACATTCCATCTTCCAGTTGGAAGTTCATAAACAAACGTACAGTTAGTGTCATTTCCCTTTGAGCCAGGTTGAGTTTGACAGCAAAGACTGGAAGTTAATGGTGGGCTAAAATTGACTCTAAAAAAAAGTGATCAGAACTAGGTGGGTCTTTCATCAATGGTGCCCACTTTTTTTCCTGTCACAGTGGTTTGGGCTCTTGAACGGTCATTCGACATACCTTTATGTGTAAACATAATGAGCCAGTGTTGAGTTTAGGGTTTGTGAGGGTTGTGTACCATTGGGTTTTTAAGTGAGCATTAGTTTGTTTAATGAAATTGCATGGGATGTTTCATATTTCTGGCCCCTGAGCACCAAATGTCGTTAGCACTTCAGTCATTGCGGCAGCCAAAACCACCCCTATTCATTTTCAAAGACCTCAGGGGTTTCAGGGAAAGGTGTACTTGGCTTGGCAGATAGTGCACTTACGTAGTTGGAGTCAAGAATGCAGGATTTGAATCAGAAAACCTGTCATCAAATCTTGTCTCTGTCTCCTACTGGCTTTGTAGTGTTCAGTGTAACCACCCCTTTGAGTCTGGGTGTCCTTGTCTGCCAGGGGATGGTTGGACCAGATACCCTCTCAGGGCAATCATTTTTGATTCTGCAGTTTAGTGTAGTACAGTATCAAGACTCATGTCACTGGTCAGGCACAGTGGCTCATGTCTGTAATCCCAGCTCTTTGGGAGGCTGAGGTGGGAGAATCACTTGAGCCCAGGAGTTCGAGACCAACCTGGGCAACATGTGAGACCTTGTCTCTACAAAACAGGAACAAAATTAGCTGTGCATGGTGGTGCATGCCTCTAATCCCAGCTACTTCAGAGGCTGAGGTGGATCACTTGAGTCTGGGAAATGGAGGCAGCATTGAGCTGTGGTCGCACCGCTGCACTCCAGCCTGGGCAACAGAGCAAGACCTTATCTTAAAAAAATAAAAAATAGCCGGGCGCGGTGGCTCAAGCCTGTAATCCCAGCACTTTGGGAGGCCGAGGCGGGTGGATCACAAGGTCAAGAGATCGAGACCATCCTGGTCAACATGGTGAAACCCCGTCTCTACTAAAAATACAAAAAATTAGCTGGGCATGGTGGCGTGTGCCTGTAATCCCAGCTACTCGGGAGACTGAGGCAGGAGAATTGCCTGAACCCAGGAGGCGGAGGTTGTGGTGAGCCGAGATCGCGCCATTGCACTCCAGCCTGGGTAACAAGAGTGAAACTCAGCCTCAAAAAAAAAAAAAAAATGATAATAATAATAAAAAATAAAAAATAAAAAAAAGACTGTCACTTACCAGGGATTTAATGTATTTGCTGTACTGCTCACAAATGCTTATATGTCTCAACTTTGGCTTGTTACAGGTTCAGCTTGTTGGTTTAGATGAGGAGAGTTCGGAGTTTATTTGCAGAAACACCTTTGACCACCCGTACCCCACCACAAAGCTCATGTGGATCCCTGACACAAAAGGTGTCTATCCAGACCTACTGGCAACAAGTGGCGACTATCTCCGTGTGTGGAGGGTAAGCAGATGCTTTATTAGCAGCCAGACAAGTGGGCTTTCTCAGCCTCAGCTGTTAGCAGTGGGGAGTCACAGAAGAGACAGGGGTCAGAGGCATCGAGTGTCATTGCCACACGGGAGAAACAAGCAAAGCCTGAATGGACTGACCTTGTTTGGCTCAGCAGATTTTCTAGTAAATCAAGTCAAGAGTCCATGAAGTCTGGCTGCTGACTGCAGTCAGCTCAGTCAACCCAATGTGACAATGACAGCTTTCAGTGGAGGTGGGACTACTTGGGAACTCATATTCTGTTTGCAGCCAAGATGTTTTTGAGTGAATTAAACAAATACCAGAGCATTGATTCTAATGAAGTGTGTGAGTGAATCTTGGAGGATTCCCTCCGCCCTCAGCTGAGCTCAACAGTAGCAACGTCCTCGAGTGTGGACTTAGTCCACGTGTGCAGAGATTCCAGGTTGGGCAAGGTGAGAAGACCTCTTCCCTAGGAAGATGCAAGGATGAAAATGTAGAAAACAAAGCTGGACAGAGGAAAAAGTATGGGGAAAAGTAGCATTCAGGGAGTCCTGGGTTTGTTACTGTTTTTGATAAAAATGTTTTCCCTCACGTTGTATATTTGTTAAGATATTCCCTAAACAGGGATTTTTAAAAAGACTTTTTATGAGGATAAGACTGGCTAATTTAAAAAAAAAATCTTGTTCCTTCAGGTTGGTGAAACAGAGACGAGGCTGGAGTGTTTGCTAAACAATAATAAGAACTCGGATTTCTGTGCTCCCCTGACCTCCTTTGACTGGAATGAGGTGGATCCTTATCTTTTAGGTAAGAGAGTTAGGGAGTATGTATTTCAGCTGGAAGAAGCCAAAATACATTTTCTCAGGTGTCACACTGGGCTGTGTATCATCCTAGAACAAGGCCGAGTGAGAAGTAGGCTTGGTGTGGAATGTGGTTATTTATTAATTCCTTCCATGTGGGCAAGCTTTCCATGTGTGTAGCTCTTGTCTCTCCACTTAGAATCTAAGGTCCTATGGTGAGGATTGAATTCTCACTTAAAATCTAAGATCCTGCAGTGAGGATTGAGTACTTGACGCTCTCTGTGGCTCTGCCGGTACCCCCCACGTTGTATTCTGTAGTCTTTGTGGTATGTTGCTTTCTGAGCCTAGCGATGAATAGACACAGGAGGGAGGCTTGCCCGAGAACCTTGCTCCCCTCAGTCCTGACTCACACTGGTTGTTTGCAGGTACCTCAAGCATTGATACGACGTGCACCATCTGGGGCCTGGAGACAGGGCAGGTGTTAGGGCGAGTGAATCTTGTCTCTGGCCATGTGAAGACCCAACTGATCGCCCATGACAAAGAGGTAATGATGCTTTTCCATTTGTCTTTCCTCAAATGCTTTCTGTGCCTTCAGCACAGGAAGAGGACAGATTGTTTTCTCATTGTTCTGCACTTTATGTAGAAAATCGTAACATAACATCTTCTTGTCTAAATTGACAATAGTAATGTGTCAAAAACAGGAAAACAACACTATTGTAAACTAATGCTTTTTCTGGTTAATGTAAATGACTTATTCTAAGGTCTGTCATGGTTCTTTTCATGCCAGAGATTGCTTTTTTAAAATAATGAAGTCTCTAATAGAGGAATTGGGAACTGATGTGATTAAAAAATAACCTTAGGGTAATACTTAACCTTGAAACAGATTAGATTTGGGGAGGAAGGAAGGGAGACAGGAAGAGAAAAAATTGTCTGAGAGACAAACCTAATTATCCATTTTTCTCTGTAAATGTTTTACAAAGTTCTAGTATGTTCACTTAATCTTTATACTTTTTTTTTTTTTTTTTTTGAGACGGAGTTTCACTCTTATTACCCAGGCCGGAGTGCAATGGTGCGATCTCGGCTCACCGCAACCTCCGCCTCCTGGGTTCAGGCAACTCTCCTGCCTCAGCCTCCTGAGTAGCTGGGATTACAGGCATGCGCCACCATGCCCAGCTAATTTTTTGTATTTTTTTTTAGTAGAGATGGGGTTTCACCATGTTGACCGAGATGGTCTCGATCTCTTGACCTCGTGATCCACCCGCCTCAGCCTCCCAAAGTGCTGGGATTACAGGCTTGAGCCACCGCGCCCGGCTTAATCTTTATACTTTTATTAGTGTTGGCAATGGAGTATATTTTACTTTGATGGTGATGTTTCTGTGTTTATTGGGAAAACTGAGGAGATCTATTTGTGATTGCATTTTTTTTTTTTTTTTTTTTTTTTTTTTTGAGATGGAGTTTTGCTCTTGTCACCCAGGCTGGAGTGCAGTGGTACAATCTCTGCTCACTACAACCTCCACCTCCTGAGCTCAATCGAGTCTCCTGCCTCAACCTCCCAAGTAGCTGGGATTACAGGTGCCTGCCACCATGCCTGGCTAATTTTTGTATTTTTAGTAGAGGCAGGGTTTCACCATGTTGGCCAGGATGGTCTCAAACTCCCAACCTTAGGTGACCCACCTGCCTTGGCCTCCTAAAGTGCTAGGATTACAGGCATTAGCCACTGCACCTGGCCAGCTGCATTTTAATCAAAGCATTCTTCTCAGTGATTTTGGAAAATGTCCCTAAATCTTTTCCTCCTAGAGCCATTGCATGCTCCTGGTACTCTGATCTCCTGTGGGTAGTGTTTCCCTTTCTTTTCCACCCTGCCTTACACAGGGGTATTGATATCTATACAGATAAAGAAGAATGTCTTAACCTTAGATCAGAAACTTGAGGTTGTCAACAGTGTCGGAAGATGTGACCCGGGTTATCATTCTTAGTAAGGGGTTGTCTTTGGCTTTCTATACTCCTGAGGGTTAGCTCTGTTACAAGACTTCTAGACTTGACTGCTGCTAAACTAGGGGTCAAATGAAGAGTTTGTCCCGCAGAGAGGACCAGTAAGGAACTTCGGGAAATCCTCTTGGCATCAGGTTGAACAAGCTGCTGATGTTAGTTATATGACAACTTAGCCTGCTGTTGTCTGTTAGATCCAACCGATAAAATGGAAATTGAATTACTCTTAAGTATTTCAACTGTAGGATTTAATCCAGGGGCTCCTTATACAGAAGATGGTGAGGTTGAGAAGCCACATAGGTAGCAATGAGGTCATCCATAGAATGGGAGCAGCAGAAAGCTGCCGCTGCCTTTAGGCTGGAGGGACCACGGAAGGAGGCAGGGTTCCTGGAGCCCAGAGGCTGGGTTTACCTAACAGAGATGCTTCTAGGAACAGAGAAAGGGGAGGAGAAAAACCTTAGCTTCTCCCTGCCTGCCACCATCCAGCTTCCCACCAAAGCCTTCCATGGCTGAACCAGCCAGAAGCAGCCAGCAGATCTGAGCTCCTGCCAAACGCAGGCTATTAAGAATCAGTTCTCTTGTGGCAGAGAGAAGAGCAGGGAGAAAGGCCAGGAATGGATCTTGACAGCAGACAGGCCTGGACCGGCAGTCTTGTCTTGAAGTAAAGAACCTGAGATAGGATGATGGCTCTAGAGAAACAGTAATCGCACCTTCCTGGCACCTTTGATTGTTCTCAGTCCACCTTTCTCTAGGAGAAGACTTGTTTTGGAGACTCTCATTGCTACCTGGGAGATCAGTGTAGAAGAGGGTTTAGTGTACTTGGGTGTTGTCACCATCTCTTGGCTCCCAATGAACCATGCTGGTGGAGCACTGAAGGGGCAGTCACTTAGAGCCAAGCGAGCATTACATACTCAGCCACATTGCCCATGGCACCTGTGGCATCTCTGTCCCTGAGGGTTATCAAGAGCTGGCATTGGGGGGTATACATATTGATAAACACACCTCTGCCTTAAAGCAGCTCTACCTGGGTGCCTCCTTGTTGATGACTGGCACAGTCCCTTCTGAACCACTTCTACTTCCTCCCATAGAGAGAGAAGCATAATTCCTTTATAGCCAGAAAAAAAGGAATTCATGAGGTTAAGTAGCAATAGATGCTGATTTGGCAGTGTCGCTCAGTAGGCAGAACCTCAACACTGGAGCTGCAGTATTTAGTGAGAAATTCTACTCATGTCTCCCCAGAAGTCAGCTGTCATTATCCCCAGAAGATGAGTTTTGTTTGGCATTAGTTTGTCTGTTTCTGTTTCTCTCTACTTTCTCTACTTGTCTGGCTCTGGCTCTGGCTCTGGCTCTGGCTCTCGCTCTCTTCATCCTCTCCTTTTTTTTTTTTGAGATGGAGTCTCTCTCTGTCCCAGGCTGGAGTGCAGTGGTGCGATTGATCTCGGCTCACTGCAACCTCTGCCTCCTGGGTTCAAACAATTCTGCCTTTGCCTCCGGAGTAACTGGGATTACAGGTGCCGGCTACCGGCCCAGCTAATTTTTTTTGTATTTTTAGTAGAGATGGGGTTTCACCATTTTATCCAAGATGATCTTGATCTCTTGACCTCATGATCCACCCACGTCAGCTTCCCAAAGTACAGGGATTACAGGTGTGAGCCGCTGCGCCCGGCCTTCATCCTCTCTTTCTCTGAAGCTCTCCATTGCTTTCTACCTCTGTAGACGTTAGTGATTTGCAATGTTTGCAGCAAATAATAAATGCAGAAAACCGATTCAAAAATTGATTTGCTTACGACCACAAACCAACTATGAGAATAAACAACACATCCTAGGATAGGAGGGTGCTACTACACCTGTTTGTGAATACGGGAACATCTAGGCCTCCCATGACTCAAAATTTCTGTTACGTCTTTCTTGCACATGAGTCTCAGGTCCAGGTTTCACAGTAGAATCAGTCTGACTGCTATTAACTGGCCACAGGAGGGTTGCTGTCACCTCTGTGATTGATGATCTAGGCCTTAATGTGCTCGTAGACCTGCCTCTTATTGTGCACAAGTGAAAGCCACCAAGGCCCAGGAAATAAATGTCTCATTCTTTTAGTGTGGCAGAAGGCAGCCACTGCTCTGTTGGTCAGCAGGGTATGTGTCTTTTGTTTTATCACAGGGGTTGGAGGAAGAAGACTTGGAAAGCAGGAATGTGGGAAGAAGCCAGCCAATTTCTATAGCAGAATGATCTTTCATCTTTGGGAAACCACTGATATTAGAGCTCTCAGGTTTTAGTATTCACAAACACTGTTTGGGCTTCATTTACCTGCTTCTCTGTCATGAGCGAGGTTTACGTGACCTGGACATGGCAGATTTTTCTTCTACAGGAAGAAGAGGTAATGGATCTGAATCTGACCGGAACTTCTTATTCACCAACAGGTCTATGATATTGCATTTAGCCGGGCCGGGGGTGGCAGGGACATGTTTGCCTCTGTGGGTGCTGATGGCTCTGTGCGGATGTTTGACCTCCGCCATCTAGAACACAGCACCATCATTTATGAAGACCCGCAGCATCACCCACTGCTTCGCCTCTGCTGGAACAAGCAGGATCCTAACTACCTGGCCACCATGGCCATGGATGGAATGGAGGTGAGCACTCCCCTCAGACTACCATGGGTCCTGCCAAGCTCCAGCACTGCTTAGTATATCTAGAAGGGTGGTTCTCAACTGGAGCAGTTTGGCCCCCGGAGTATCTTTGAGAATATCTAGAGGCATTTTTGGTTGTCACAACTCTGGAGAGGCAGGTGGTACTATAGCATCTAGTGGGTGGAGACCAGGGAGGCTGCTAAATATCCTACAGTGCCCAGGACAGTCCCCCAGCAAAGTATATCCTACACAAAATGACAGCAGTTTCGGGACTGAGAAAGCCTAATCTGGAACAAGAATTCCTTTTAAGAACTTTTAATTTTTGGCTGGTCACAGTGGCTCATGTCTATAATCCCACCACTTTAGGAGGCCCAGGCAAGTGGATCATGATGAGATCAGGAGTTTGAGACCAGCCTTACCAACTTGGTGAAACCCTGTCTCTACTAAAAATACTAAAAAAAAAAAAAAAAAAAAAAAAAAAAAAAAAAAAAGCTGGGTGCGGTGGTGTGCGCCTGTAATCCAGGCTACTCAGGAGGCTGAGGCAGAATTGCTTGAACCCAGGAGGCAGAGGTTGCAGTGAGCCAGGATCACATGACTGCACTCCAGCCAGGGCAACAGTGTGAGACTCCATCTCAAAAATAAATAAATAAATAAATAAAATAAAGAACAAAAGAGACAGGATTTCCACAAGATTAAGGGGAAAGATGACAAAGGACACAGGTTTATAGTCTCTATCTGTATTTTTAGTAGAGACGGGGTTTTACCATGTTGCCTAGGCTGGTCTCAAACTCCTGACCTTGTGATTCGCCCACCTCAGCCTCCCAAAGTGCTAGGATTACCGGTGTGAGCCACTGCGCTCAGCCCTCTAGTGTTCTTTAAATCCACAAATAGAAGAGTTATGTCTAAAAAGATTTTTTGTGTGTGGATAGTATTTTTTGTTTCTTTCTGTCAAACTCTGACGATCCTAGGCCTTTTACTTGTTATTTCTGCAGGTGGTGATTCTAGATGTCCGGGTTCCCTGCACACCTGTCGCCAGATTAAACAACCATCGAGCATGTGTCAATGGCATTGCTTGGGCCCCACATTCATCGTGTCACATCTGCACTGCAGGTAATCACAGTAGGGGAAAGGAATCTGGCAGACATGGAGGAAATCTGTCATTTTGGCTCTTTAGAATTGTAATTGTTACTGTTTTCTAAGGACAGTCTTGAGAGGTTTATAAAAAGTGACTAGTCAGAGCCTCTTCACACTTGTGAAATTCAAGCAGTACAAATTTTTAGATGATCTTGTACCCTCATGGACATCAGAGCATCTTCCATATATGATTTACATCATGTGTCAGTTATAGGCCTGTGCCTTGTACTGTCCCCCTAAAATCTGGGTGGCACAGAGGACTCAATTCCAGGAATACGAGGAAAAGGAGGCATCCCTTGTGGATATAACAGAATCTTTGGGACTGCGAAGATCAACATATCCATGGGACCTTTCAGGTATCACTATAACAAACCCACAGTGAGCCCTGGTTACATTGGAGGGCCCCACAGAACTTTGCCTGGTTGTGGTGTGTGACTTGTGGTTTTCATTTCACTATTTCCCAGACCAAAGAGAGTACCCCTTACTGGGCATGGTGGCTCACACCTGTAATCCCAGCACTTTGGGAGGCTGAGGTAGGTGGGTCACCTGAGGTCAGGAGTTTGTGACCAGCCTGACAAACATAGTGAAACCTGGTCTCTACTAAAAATACAAAAATAATTAGCTGGGCATAGCAGCACACACCTGTAGTCCAAGCTACTTGGGAAGCTGAGGCAGGAGAATTGCTTGAACCCAGGAGGTGGAGGTTGCAGTGACCTGAGATTATGCCACTGCCCTCCAGCCAGGGTGACAGAGCAAGACTCCATCTCCAAATAAATAAATAAAAGGAATACCTCTTAAAAATATGTTGGGCCAGGCACACAGCATCTCAGGCCTGTAATTGTAACATTTTAGGAGGCTAAGGTGGGAGGATTGCATGAGGCCAGGAGTTTGAGACCAGCCTGAGCAGTATAGTGAGACCTTTTCTCTACAAAAAGTTAGAAAATTATCTGGGTGTGGTAGAGAATTCCTGTAGTCCCAGCTACTTAGAGGCTGAGGTGAGAGGATCCCTTGAGCCCAGGAGTTTGAGGTTATAGTGAGCTATGATTGTGCCACTGCACTCCAGCCTGGGCAACCAAGCAAAACCCTGCCTCTAAAATAAATTTTTAAAAAAGAAAAGAAAAATATGCTGGTTGTCAGTACACTTTTATTCTATAATGAATGCCAATCTGTTATTTAAAATGAAAACTGTACAGAGGCATGTTTAACGTGAAAGTCATCTTTTCTCCTTCCTATATTATTTCTGCCTCCATCCCACTCTGCATAGATGACCTCTATCAACAGTTCATGTGTCACCTTCCAGACCCTTTTGGTATACATTCGGGAGTGTACATCCATACCCCCAAAGACAATTCTATACCTCTTCCTTTTGCACGGATGGGATTCTGTCCTAGCTTTGTGGTGTTTTGCTCCTTAACTTTTTTATTGTGTATTTTTCTTCTCTTCACTAATCAGTAGCCTTATAATGGACAAGGTTTGTTATGAAGCCCAAGAAGCAATGTACTTTGGTGTTTTTCTACCATTTGAGCATTATTTTGAAGGCATGAAGCTTTTCCTGATTTTGGCCCTGGGCTCTTGAAGAGCAGTTGGGGGTCTGCTGCTGCCTTCTATACCTCAGGTTATGTATGGTCTGTCTTCTTCGCTATTGGCCTCTTTTTTTTTTTTTTTTTTTTTTTTTTTAAGGGGTATGGATAGGGAGGGATGGAAGAAACAGAAAAGGAAGGTATCATCTATCATTCATGGAAAGCAGGACTGGCCCCGTAGAAGCCACATTTTCTGCTCCTGGCTCGCCGTCGTTTTGTGTGTTGCACCTGCCTTGAGCCCCTTGCAACCAAAGGAGCTGTTGTTCAAGTGTGCTCAGTTGAGCACTGAGGATAGGAACTTAGTGCTTTAGAGGGGCAATACCCTGACCTCTTGGCATACACTGTCCCTGGAAGAGGGATCTTGCACCTGGCCCAGACTATGTGGTCTCGGTAGAATACCAGTATTGCCTACAATTAGCCTGCCTATTAAGGCTTAGTTTATTCAGATTCCCTGTCTGAGACCAGCTTTCATCAGAATGCGTGGCAGAGTCAGGATAAACTGCAGCTCTGAAGACCATTGCCTTTTTTTTTTCTTTTTTTAAAATTAACTTACTATTTTGATTATAAAAGTAACATGGGCCGGGTGCAGTGACTTATGCCCATAATCCCAGCACTTTATAAGGCTGAGGCAGGTGGATCATCTGAGGTCACGAGTTCAAGACCAGCCTGGTCAACATGGTGAAACCCGTCTCTACTAAAAACGTAAAAATTAGCCGGGTGTGGTGGCGCGCTTGAATTCCCAGCTACTTAGGAGGCTGAGGCAGAAGAATCACTTGAACCCAGGAGGCATTGGTTACAGTGAGCCGAGATCACACCATTGCACTCCAGCCGGGGTGACAGAACAAGACTCCATCTCAAACAAACAAAAAGTAATATGAGCACATTACAGATTACCTAGAACTAGAGAAAAGTAAACATAACTGCTAACCTTGCCATCTTAGTATTGTCACCATTCTCATTTTGAGATATTTCTTTCTAGTCATTTTTCACGTGCTTTTATATATTTAAGGTGATTGTCTTCTTTCTGGTGTTTCCCATAGCTATTTTCTTGGATTTATTTATTTATTTTATTTTATTTTTTGAGATGGAGTCTCACTCTGTCGCCCAGGCTAGAGTGCAATGGCATGATCTTGGCTCACTACAACCTCTGCCTCCTGAGTTTAAGTGATTCTCAGCCACCTGAGTAACTGGGATTATAAGTGTGCGCCACCATGCCCGGCTTATTTGTATTTTTTTTTTAAGTAGAGATGGGGTTTCACCATGTTGGCCAGGCTGGTCTCAAACTCCTGGCCCCAAGTGGTCCACCGGCCTCAGCCTCCCAAAGTCCTGGGATTACAGGTGTGAGTCACCACGCCTGGCCAGGAAAGAATTTTTTAACAGCACATATCAACACTACTTGATCAGTTTTCTTTCTATGTAACACCTCATTGAAGCATAAATGGGAAGAAACCCTCATTATATTGAATGATCAGAGAAGGATCTTATAACCACTCCAGTATTTTAAGTGGCTGCAAATGACACGTTTTGTATCCCCTTGTCCACTCCTCATACCTGACCCAGATGAGAAGGACTCATTAGTGCAGTGGATAGAGCCTGGGGACACCTGCAAGATGGAGTCAAGGCCTAGATTTGAGTTCTGGCTCTGCTACTCACTGGCTGCACAGCTGTGTGATTTGGGACAAGTGCCTTAACATTTCTGAATCTTGGTTTCTTCATCGATAAAATGGGGGTTTAAAATAGAACCTCCATCACGGAGTTCTGGTGAACAAGTGGTTTGTAAACTGTGACTTGCTCCTGAAATGCAGGGATCATCATCCCCGTTGCCTCAATTGTGACCTTGCTTGCTGGCTTTCTTTGTCTTTAGCGGATGACCACCAGGCTCTCATCTGGGACATCCAGCAAATGCCCCGAGCCATTGAGGACCCTATCCTGGCCTACACAGCCGAAGGAGAGATCAACAATGTGCAGTGGGCATCAACTCAGCCCGACTGGATTGCCATCTGCTACAACAACTGCCTGGAGATACTCAGAGTGTAATGTTGGTGGCGCTGTGCGCGCGAGGCAGGGGCTTGTGTGTTTCCTGCCTCTGCCCCACCCCCAAAGTAAGAAGAAACATGTTTCCAGTGGCCAGTATGTCTTTCGTTGCTTTGCACCCACTGTTACCAGAAGCTGCTCTAGGAGTTCCTGGCCAGTCACCCATCGCCCTCGGTGGCAGACTCAGTGCTGTGTGGCACCTCCTCAGCCCAGGGCTGAGTTTTAAGATTTTCTCTTCTTTCCTCTTCTCATTTGGTTCCTCAATTAAAATTGTGTGTATATTTGTTTGTCAGGCGTTGTGTTGAGGAGCAGTTCACGTACTGGCTGTGTCTATTCCTCTGCCCAGGTGTCTCTGTCTGTTTGCTGCCCAAGGCAGCAACCCATGTCTCGTCCATGTCCGTGTTCGTGTTAGCACTTATGTGGGAACAAATACCAATCTGTCTTTTCTCCTAGTATCAGTGTGTTTAACAAATTTCAACTTTGTATATTTATCAGGCTAATTTTTTTATGAAAAGAATTTTACTCTTCCTGGTTCATTTATTTGTCTTAGAGTCCTTCCTCTTTGCACCTTCTTCTCTTCCCTCAGTGCCTGGAGCTGGTACTGGGCCCACGGCCCCATGAGCAGTTTGCCTTCTTGAGTCACTGCCTGAGTAGTACATACCTGACCGGGAGGCCAAACCACCTTGGTGCTCTGAAGTCCACTGACTCCTCACACCTTTCTTAGCCTGGCTCTTCTCAAGGGCATTCTGGGCTTCTAAACAGACACAGGAAACCTCTGTTTACCCTGAAGCACCACTGTCCAGTCCCATCGGTTCCCACTGGGAGCATGGTAGAGCTGAGAGAGACAGGCTCTCAGGGTACCTGACTTGAGGGGAATCCTTTCAGGAAGCTGAAAAAGTCAAGCATATTTCCAGTACATACTTTCAGAGTCTGTTTTTTCTCCAAATATAAGCCCCAGGCCATTCCACTTAGTGTCTTTTTAATGATAGGCAAGAATGAGTTGAACTTCTCTGAGTTGAACTTTGATGTTTCTGTTGGTTGAGTATACTGTGCCTGGCCATATATTATATAGGGTGCTCTTTGGATTGAGTGCTCGGAGGTGAGAGAGTTTCCCAAGAGGCATCCAGTCTGTATTTCCGACCCTGAACAAGACCTCACATGAGAGATGGACTGATTGGCTGTGGCAATCCCGGGCTGTCAAGTGGATAGATAGCAAAAAAGAGTTATACTGTGGTGAGTAATGCTAAGGAGAAAAAAAGAAAGAAAAGGAATTATTGCCCCCAGGGTCAGCCAGTTAAGAGCTCTACCCATACCTGTCAACCCCTCTCTCCGCCGGTTTAGGTTCTGAGCCGTATTGGACTTGTAACCTGCGGTTGTCTGTTGACTTGCAGGCCACAGGTGTCTTCCGTTACATGAGTGAGTTCCATGGAGGGGGCCTGTGTGTGATGCCACTGTTGGATGAGTCCTTGGGGCAGGCAGAGTTTGGGGTGTGCTCTGGGGGGAAAGTTGCCTGGCTCCTTGTGCTCTACTCGGTAACTGAAGGTTTTTAAGTCCCTCTGAATTGCTCATCTGAGATTAGCAAAGTAGCAGGCCTGAGGACGATGGTTTTGTCCTCTTTGGCTCTCACCTGGTTGAGAAGTAAAACAGTGAACTTTGTTCTTCTGGGCCCTTAAGCTTTGTTGGTTAAGTCTACCTTTTCAGAAGGAGATGTCATTGTTTGCTGAAAGTCCAGCTCTTTGCTTTACCACACAGGGACCTGTCCCAAAGAAGAAGGCTCCTTTTGAGTCAGAGTATTTCCTCTTCTACCCTTTTACTTCGTTGTTCTGATTTTAGGACTCTGACTGGCCATGTGCTTGCGGTTGACTCTCCTGCATCTGCTACTGGATTTGCACTGCATTGCTCGGAGATGTAAAGCGAGCAGTTCTTGGTCAGAACTCTCCTCTGCTTTTCAGTGTGTTTGATAACAGTTACTGGGTCCTTCTCTCAAGGGTAGCAAGGCCAAGCTGATGGCTGCTTGTTTAGGAGGCCATCAGTTCCTTCCTATGGAGAAGGGTCTGAAATGGAAGTCAGTGTAGAAGAGGCTGGTCTGCTGGGCAGGGCTTACGTCCACTGAGTTTTAAGATTCCTTTGCTGATCTGAACCAAGCCTGGTCTTTATGGTGAAATTTGTCAGCTGGAACTCAGAAACAACAACTTAAAAAAAAAAAAATACACACACAACAATTAGACTATATTGGCCTAAGATAGCTATTTACTCTGGAAACCAACAACTTTTGAGGTTTCCCTCGCCTGTGGACACCCAGTCCCTGTCTTCCTTCCTCAGGTTCTGCATTGCAGTCTTACCCTGAATCCCATGGGGGACCCAGGGGAGACTCCACCTCCCTAAGCAAGCACACACATACTCACAGTTGATGAGTTGCTGGTCTTCTCAATCCCAGGTCTCTTACCCTCCCTTTACTCCACCAACCCGATAACCCATGACTGAGGAGAGGATTTCTACAGTCTAGGGATTTAGAAAGCCTGTAAGCCAGCCATGCTCCAGAAAGCACAGATCTGTTACAGTTGCAAAAACAACTCTATGTAATTTGTTGAGGTTCCCAAATTGACAGCCAGTGAGACTGGGCAGGAGACTGAATCTGCTATCCCTGACTCCTGGAGGAGCAGCTACTAGGACTTTACCAGGAAGCCCACATCTCCAGGCTGTGGCCCAGCTGGTGATGGTCCTTTTGCTCTTGGCAGCCTGAAGCACAGCTGTCTGTATTGTCCTTATCTGCTCTGAGGAAGGGTGGAGGTGCTAAATAAATTACTGGAGAATGGGTCCACGTCATTAAGGACCTGAATTTTTTACACTCAGGAGCATTGGAACTCTCTTCTTCCAGAGAAGGAACTAGCCTGCAAGGTTAGTACTTGAAGGGGGAAGATATTTAATAACTGGGCAAAAATTTCTTATAAATCCAGGATTGGCTCTCAGAGAACTGGCTAAGATTCAGGAAGAAACAAAATTCAGAATCCTATAAGGTTTTTTTGTTTTGTTTTGTTTTTTGAGATAGTCTAACTGTCACGCAGGCTGGAATGCAGTGGTGCAGTTTGGCCCACTGCAACCTCCGCCTCCCAGATTCAAGTGATTCTCCTGCCTCAGCCTCCTGAGTAGCTGGGACTACAGGCGTGTGCCACTACGCCCGGCTAATTTTTTGTATTTTTTAGTAGACACGGGGTTTCACCATGTTAGCCAGGATGGTCTCAATCTCCTGACCTCATGATCCACCTGCCTCAGCCTCCTAAAGTGATGGGATTATAGGCCTGAGCCACCATGCCCGGCCCCTACAAGGTTTTGATGACAGTTAGGGCCAAAATTTTAGGAGGTGATACAGGATGCAGGAGAAAATCAAAGTGTTTTCTTTAAATCAAAGGAGGAAATATTAGAGGTCAGCGGAGGTCTGGGGTAGGGAAACATTCACACTGTCCATTGCATGACTGTGGAATGAGACTGCCCTTAACCTGGGTCAGCTTTCCTGGGCCATAAATTGGGTATCCATGACACTAGGTAACTGTGAGAACAAGTTGACAGCTCAGAGCAGCCATAGGTGATGTTTGGTGGTAAAAAACCTGCAGGCATTGGAGGTCCCATGATTGTTCCAGACCGTGGCTCTTGGTTGTGGGTTTGTTCAGAGCAGGAGAAGCACAGGTTATGACAGGTATACAGACTTTCTCCCTCCTTTTTCTCTCTTCTCTTCCCCTTGCTTTTCCACTGTTTCTCCCTGCTGCCACCTGGGCCTTAAATTCCTGGGCCATGAAGACATGTAGGAGCCACAGGGTTTACCACATGTTGGAGGGCAGCCCAGAACTGTCCCTCTACCTTTCCCACTTGGAGAATATGGCAGCCCCGTCCATTCTTGGCTTGGGGTAGGGGAGTGCATTGAAGTAGAAGCCTCAAAGCAGACTTTTCCCAGGGAAGAGAGCAGAGCAGAGCAAAGTCACTGTGAACCCTGGGCCAGGCCCTGCTGGGCCAGCTCCTGAGAGTGTCTTGTGTTGCAGAGCCTTGCCCACTCACCCACCTTCACCCTCTCCCCCTCCCACGGTGTCACTGCTGCTAATGGTCAAAGTCAAATATGTGGCCACATGAGATGGACCAGGTCCTCTCAGGCTACTTTCTGGATGTCATTTTTAAAATACAGAGACATGCAGGTGCCTTCTGAAAGAGGCTTGGACTGGTATATCCAACCAGAAACAAATAAGCTAAAGAAAGTTTGAACTTGAGAAGAAAGATGTTGACAGTCTGTGTAACAGCTGGAAAGTTTACAGGCACCCACCTTTGGGACAACCCAGTAAATATGAACTTGTGATATCTACTAAGATTTTCAAAGAAATGTTCTCACCTTGGGTTGATTGTGGTAAATCATGTGTTATGAAAATTGTTGAGCAGAAGCTTTAAATTGCTTTAGTTGAGTCTGAATCACTTGCTTTGGTTCCTATGTATTTTATGACCCCTCTTGTCAGTGACCTTCCCTCCCCACCCCACCCAGAGTGAATTTGTAGCATGATTGTATAAACTTCTATGTAGAAAATGGAGATTTCTTGCTCTGAAATGTTAAGCTCTAACTCATTCATTTCTGTGCCCTTTAGCCTAGTATGTCTGAACTTCCATTCTTGTTATATATTTAAACTTTCCCTCTATATTATAGGTTTTGTGGCATCCATGGTCAGGTGGAAAGGAAGCTGCCCCTTGTAGAACTGTACTGTAATATTTTTCTTTTATAAATATTTTCACAGGACTGATTGTACACAGGGCTTGTAATAAAATTTTAACACTGTGCTGTGAAACAACTATGGGGAATCTCCATTGAAGGCTACTTCAAAGGCACCTGAAAGTGGAGTGTTATATCTACGACTTTCTATTTCTTGTTTCCTAAGTAAATTAAACCTAATTTTCACCCTTTCATTCTGTTTCAGCCTCCTGTATAAGAAGTACCATATTTTCTGCCCATCATACTTTGTAATAAAACTTGAACATGTATAGATTGACTGAATTTCTTTTTGTGATGAATTCAGTTCTTCCCATTTTGTCACTGTGGTCATGTTCCATAGACAATGGCAGTGCCCCAGCCAAAGCCAGGCAATCTACTCTTCACCTTTTATATCCTGTTTGGTCATTCACTTGTTATTCAGTGGAGCACCTCCTCTATGCCAGGGGACATGGCCCTCAAGTTGGTTGCAGTTTATCAGAGGAGATATCCACATAAATACTTGTGGCCAGGCACAGTGGCCTGTGATCCCAGCCGAGGTGTTGGGGAGGCTGAGGTGGATCACTTGAGGACAGGAGTTCAAGAGCAGCCTTGGCAACATAGCAAGACCCTATCTCAGTCAGTAATTTTTATTTAAAAAAATTATTTTTAGCCAGACTGAGATCTAAGACAATTTTTTTTTTTTTTGCATTTATTTCAATAGTTTAGGGGGAACAAGTGGTTTTTGGTTACATGGAAAGTTTTCTAATGGTGATTTCTGAGATTTTGGTGCACCCATCACCCAAGCAGTTTGCACTGTACCCAGCTAGTAGTCTTTTATCCCTATCCCCTCTCACCCAAATTAATTTTTAAAAAACAAAGCCAAAAAATCCAAATACTTGCATTGTTTTGCAATAGTGGATGTGTTTAAGCATCACCTACAAGGCAGGGACGATCACCTTTGCCTGGGTGGGAGCCAGACAGGGTCAGCGAAAGCTACTTGAGATGGATGCCTAAGCTGGGTGTTGAAGGCTGAGTAAGAGTTCTCTGGGAATAGGGAATGTCATTTAAGGCAGAGAGAACACCCATGTGCAAATATGTAGAGGCAAGAAAGTATGGTCATATTCAGAGAATTGCAGGTTGAGGTGGGGTGAATAGTGGGAAGTATAGCTAGGGAGGTATACAGGAGCTAGAGCAGGAAAAGTCTTGTGCTTTGCAGAAATTTTCGATACTACACTCATGCATAAGCCTGGAAAACATACACAGAGAGGAATCATCAGAATTGCATCTTGGGAGGATAGGCAATGATAAAGTGCCTCTGCCTTCTTATAACAGCATGAGAGAAAATCAAATCCTGAACTACGGTGGTGGCGGCAGCAGCAGTAGCAGTAGCAAGGATGGAGAGGACAGAGCGCAAGCGAAGAGGGGTGCAGTTACCAGCATTCAGTAATTTATTGGCTGTGAAGGGAGAACAAAGAACTCCCAGATCTTTTGGGTTTGGACAGGTTCTGATAGCTGACTAGGAATGTTCAAGTCCCTGTTAATTTCCCAAACCTATGCCCCAACATGGTAGGATGGGGAAGGAGTTCCTGTCCCACTGCTATTCAAATGCTGTGTGTCCTGGATGAAATATTCCCCTCATTTATTTTTATTTTTATTTGTTCATGTTGGGCCACTTTCAAGAAAGAGAAAGGCACACTGGTTCAGTGAACCAATATTTGGTAAGTACCTGCCATTGTGTCAGCTGACATGAAGCCAGCAGCAGTGGATCTTTGAAAGGAAGTGTGTGCCCTTGAGAATTTAAATTTATGAGTACCTGCTGCTCCTGTTGGAACTGTACTGCTATGTAGTCTGACAGTGTATATTTTCTAGGAAATATGTGAGTCCTGCTTTCTGGTTTTTAAGGAGAAAACTGAGAGACAGTAATAAGGCGAGGCTATGCTGCAGCAACAAACCCCCAAATATCAGAAACTGCTTACACAAAGTCCTCTGGGCTAGGCGCAGTGGCTTGCCTCTCTAATCCCAGCACTTTGGGAGGCCAAGAGGGATGGATTGCTTGAGGTCAGGAGTTCAAGATGAGCCTGGCCAGCATGGTGAAACCCCGTCTCTCTTAAAAATAAAAAATTAGCCAGGCATGGTGGCGCACACTGTTGTCCCAGCTACTTGGGAGGCTGAGGCAGGAGAATAGCTTGAATCCAGGAGGTGGAGGTTGCAGAGAGCTGAGATAACACCACTGCACTCCAGCCTGGATGACAGAGTGAGGCTCCATCTCAAGATAAAATAATAAATGAGTGACCTCCAGGTTGCTTATAGGGGGTGGGATGGAGTACATTTTTCAGGATGGGCCTGGAAGTGGCTTACTCACTTCTGCCCCTATGTGCCAACTCCAGGTCAAGAAATGTAGTCTTACTGTGTATCCTGGAAGAGGAAATGAAGCAGTGAATAGTTATGTCTTAGCCATACCAGCAAATTGGTTAAGTATCTAGAGTAATAACT